GAGACTTTCGCCTAATGTTGTTTTTAGTTCGTCTGATTCGTCTTGTCTGTATACTCTATCACGGATTCGCATACCTCGGTTCACGTCGGACGTTGGTGTATAAGAAAGTTTCACAGATCAATATTCATATTTATTTGTTCTCATTTCGCAGTGTATGTGCTTTCGTGATTAGCTTGTATTTGTCTCTTCTTTGTCAGTGTTACACACGTATATGTTGATCTTTTATTATCATATAATTTTTGTCAGTAAGTAACGAATAAGTAAAGAATAGGTTCCCACTGCTGTGGAATTGGATTTTTTCACTGTTTTAAAAATCACTGTATTACCATCGGTCCAAGATTACCCTGGACGCAATTCTGGTCACTGGCCACGGGTCGCTTAGATCTTTCATCGACGCTAAACAAAAAACTCTCTTGGCTTCATCCCGACTGCAGCTCGAACAAAAACCATAAAGAACATATTCTCACCTGGACTGTAGTATTTTCACTCTGGTTAACATGTCCAAATGACCAGCTGAATATTGCTCAATCACATCTTTCACATCGTACGGTCGTAAGGCTTCACGAAATTTACGGCGAGCGACGAGAAAACGCATTTTCCGTATTGTGCGAATGGCCATTTTCTCTTTCTCGGTTAACTGCCGGTCGATGACCACTGAACTTTTTTCGGTTGAACTGGTCTGATTCACATTTGAAGACCAGTTATTCCGACTGGACTCGTTTGGCGTAAGCGGTCGGGTTTGATTCGGGTTATCGCGAATGCTCAGTGGGCCAGCTGATGGGGGCTCAGCTAATTGTGGCACAGTTTGTCTCGACCTGGATGATGGGATTTGGGCAACTTCCCGGGAGTGAATCACTTTCAGCGAAGATGATTTTTTACCGGCTTTTGGAAGTGACGGGGTGAGGAAAGGAACAGTTACAAAAGGCAACAAGTTTCTATTTATCATCGCTAATTAGGAGGACACATATTGTGTTTAATTATTTATGCCACGTTTGTAGGTGCAATTAAGTTTTAATAACAATTTGACCTATGATAATGTTGTAAACTTTCTCAATCTCCCTTTTTTATCTCCTTCATCTACAGCGGACAAGTTTGTCTAAAATCATCATCTGTTATTTAAATGGTGAATTATGTGAAGTATTTCCTTTGAACAATTAAGACACCTGTGGAATCCAAAGATTGCACAGTGTTGTACCCGTAGTATTATCATAAAATTAAGGAAAAACGAACCCAATTCAACTCAGAGCTATTCACAATCCAAACCAACAGCTGGCACAAGTGTGGATGAAAGACACTCGATTGAGAGCTTCGCTCTTTATCGCCAAAGAGAGAACAAGCAAGGGAAGAAATTGAAACACGGAAATACTTTGTGTGCTATGATAAAAGAAAATATTTCACAAGGTGTTCAGCTGCCCTTTATTAATTTGGCTCATACGTTTGAGAGTGTCCTGATATGCTCTACGTTCCTTTCGCGTTTTAAATATAGCTTATTATGTGCCGTGTTGAAATCAATATTTACTTTCCATTTATTCAGAACATGAATATTTTACATGCACAAATCGATAAATCAGGTCGTTAACAATCTCAACTAAAAATCTCCCGTGAGGTTTTGGCCTCAAACCATGCAACTGAAGGTTAGCTTTTAAATCGTTTATCGCGCGTAAATTAACAAACAAAATAAAAGCCTGTGTGAGCCCTGAGTGCACGTATCGGAAATTGCTACTAAAACAGCGGAGTTCGTATATCCGATATAATTCGGAATATTAATTTAGAAAAAAATCATTACGTGGTTCCTACTGTCCGATGACTTATTTTGATTTCAAAATGAACGATCGCCGTGTGTGTGATATTCGATCAAATCCAAGTTAATAAGAAATGAGAATATATTATCCAAAAAGGGAGAAGGAGCATATTTTGATCTCAATAGGCGGTAGGCGGTAGGAAAGAGTTTCCGATTATTCAGCTTGTAAAGGCCGGCAAGTAGTATTCTCATGCAGTCACTTTGTGAATACCCATCAAACTATCGCGGTTAACTCACAACAAGTTTGACTACGTTCAACTACAGAGTTATTTTATGCCCACGTTGATTGTATCAGGACTAGGCCGAGAACACTTTGGCAATCCAACTGAACGTTTATTCTTGCTTCCTATTTTCTGTGAATATCATTGATGCATGAAGCTTTGATCAGTCTGAAATGAATAAAATGAAAGTCTCGTTACCAATTTATTTTTTTACCACTTGATGAGGTACTTCTGCTAGTCATCTTAGACCGATTGCCCTTGTTTGCAGGTGTAAGAACAACAAGACAATATCTCAGAGTTTCGATGAAATGTCCCAAAATTCCGTTCACACGTATTTCTGTGAGAACTTTGTTGAGAGTGGTGTTGTTTGCAGACTGCTAGGAGTGATTGAACCATGAGCGAAGCATCCTAGGTACTTAAGTTGTAGATACATACAGTTGCGCAAGCGAAGATCGAATCACTGTAAGCTCGTCAATAACGAACTTGCGCAAAGCATAAGCTCAAAAACCAAAGAAAATATTTCAATAATCGTGAATTTGCTGGATCGGTCAAGATAAATGGGAACAAAAATCATAGTCAAAATAGAGTGGTACAGTTTTTGTCTCTATTCCGATGTGGCTCTGTTCAACAGAATAAGTGAAACATCCGAATGATCCATTTTACTTTGCTGCAATCCGTGCAGATTCCTAACCGAATATAACCTAACAACGGTTTTTGATCGTTTATCTTAGTAGAGGTGACGTATATGGCTCAATACTTGGAAGAGTAAATAACTCACTTATCACAATTTTATCTCAAGCATAGTTTGCTATATTTCCAATCGTTTGATGAACACAC